ATGGAGCTTGGTTGATATGAAGAGTTTTGATCATCACACATAGAGCTTGGGATGTATAGCTAAAAGGTTATATTTTAAACTCATATGACCAGAGCACCTGATTCCACAATTTTCTGGGATCAACTAGGGGTTTCAGAAAACCACAAACAAACAAATTCTCAGTCATCCCATGACCTTCATGACTGAAAATTTGCATAGGCAGGCTTTTATAAAGGTTTAAATGGGAAATTCTTCAGGAACTTTGTCTTTAAACAAATCAATTCTCACTATAAAGGTCAGGTTTGTGGCTCAAACAACTAAAGGTAAATCCTGTCAAAGGTAAATTTCAACCTGAGCAGGGTAGTTCCTCCAGAGTAATCATCACCCAGCCTTTTCTGATTAACCCTATCTTTGCCCAGCTTTCGGTTTAGATGGACAACAGTGTGGTTGAGGTTGGTAGATTTGCTTAATTTCTTCCCATTTACATATGATGGATTGAACAGTTTCCTGTGACACGACATATTCTATCACCTAACCCTGTTTTAAATGCTTTTTCTCCCCGTATGCCATGATTGATGTTCTTTATCACGCTGTTTGTTCACAAACTTTCTCTAATAAACCTCTGAGGCCTCAGGACTATGGCATGATTTTTACTTATAGTACTTAGCATAATGGTGGATTCTATCCATTAAACAGGTGATTATTTAGGGCAGTTTATTGCACTTTATTGTGTGACCTAGAATTAAGGGTAAATAAATCAAAGCATTGTTGTTACATTGCTGCATACATATTTTAGCAACGTAAAACGGGGGGGAAAACAAGATAAAAGTCTATGAAATAAGGTACAGAACATGCAATCATACTCAGAACAAACCACAAGTGAAGTCTAAGGCACAGATTTTAATCTGTCATGCTTTTTGAGATACCACTCCTAGTAGTGGTACGCTAACCTCTAAAAAAACAGATCACTGCTTTCTCATCTAGTCAGTGGCAGGCAGGGTCAAGGAGATGAAGATGAGAAGCAAAGACAAGTGAAAAGAATCTGCCATCTTTGAAAGACCTCATTGGGTTCAGAGAGTTTGGTCTTTCTATCTGCAGCAACCAGTGGAAGATGTTAAACCACGTGATGGTGAGAGAAAGTTCTCTCAGTACATTTTAGTCACATGTATTCAATACATTCATAGCCTTCTTTTTATATTCCAGATGTATTTGCTTAACTACCCTTTTTCTATTTTGAAGCTTTAAGTCATTTCTGAACTAAGCACCTCAAAGTGCAGGCCATGCTAAGCAGTATGCACCTCAGACGACTAATTCTGATCTTATGGGGAGTCTAATTAGTTTCATATAAAAAGTAAAAGTAAAACATAACTTTTTTTGGCTTTTTCTTTTTTTCTCTCTCTAAAACTGAGAATAGTATCAAGTGGCATATCTCCCCACATTGTGAAATTCTGCTGAAATTCTTGTGAGCAGTAAACATCTGCGTTATGATGGAAAGAAAAAAAACACAAACAGAAGCTCCTGGCGTGCTTGTGAAACTGAGAAAGCCCCTTTGATGCAGAGTAAGAGAGATCAGAAAGCTGCTCTGAATTAAGTTCACTATACTTGAATTTATTAACTGTTGAGCCATACTGTGGGAAAGTACTGTTACTGTCACGGCTTTCGGCGGTGCGAGAGACTGCATTTTGTACTGAGAGAAGGCTGCCACCACTTCCTGTGTATCTGCTCGCTGTGATTTATTTCATGCATGAAGGTTGTAACTGCTAAGCTGCGGCATCCTACCTGAAATTATTGGCAGTTTCCCCAGTGTTCAGCTGCATACACACATTCAAACTGTTCAATAGTACATACTCTTGACCCTCTCTTCCACAGTGCACCTGTGGACCTCTGTGATCAGCTTGTTTTTTATGTTGGTATTTAAAAAAATGCAAAAGCTTGCAAACAAAACAAAAAAAGGAAAACCTCACATTTTGTTAGTCTTAATGCATTCTAATAGTTTGTTATAATGGACCAACACAAAGTAGGAGATATTCATGACGGCCAGTTGTGCTGCTAACAGTTTGTTCCACTTGAGCTGCAGGTGTCTGCAGCTCCTCCAGAGCTAACATGGGCCTCAGTGGGCAGCCATCTCTTCAAAGGTTTGTAGTTATGCTCTACTCTTTTTGTTGTCAGGTAACAAAGCTTTCCATGCTCTCCAAAACTTTCAGTTACCTTTACAGAACAGCTGCATCTATCATATTACTCACAGGCTGACTCGTTTTACTAACTAGGTGGCTTCTAAAGGCAACTGGTTGCTTTATGTGCTTAGGCTCTTAGCATAAAGGGAACTGAAAATATTTTGTTAAAGTAACTAAACAATCATGCCCTACTTCCTGTCAGCCTATCACATACATTTCCTGTGAAAAACAATGAATGGTCTGTTTCAAAAAAACTTAAATTAGTATGACAACCATTGCAAAGCTGTGAATATCCTGCATGCAACTCCCCCACTCGATGCAAAACTAAACCCCAGTTTAAGTCAGGACTCTGTGGCTTTGTGAGTTTCAATGTCAACAACAAGGAGTTAACGGTTGACTAGCTACTGACCACTTTGTATCTTATTTTATCACACTCTCAGTTCTCATGATGTGTTTGTGAAAACTCTTTTCTCAAGAAACACGTCTTAAAAAATAAGGCGCATGTATTCTAAGCCATTAAGGCATTGAAACGTCCTGCATTCTTGAATTTGATCAGTCAAAGAGTGGAGGAAGTATTTTCACCCTTTAAAAGTTGCTTTATATCTAAATAGAGCTGATGAGTCGTGACAATAGGGCTGCAAAACTGAACAGTGGGTAGCACTGCTGCCTCACAGCAAGAAGGTTCTGGGTTTGATTCCTGGCCTGGGGTCTTTCTGCATGGAGTTTGCATGTTCTTCTTGTCCATGCATGGGCTCTCTCTGGGTACTCTGGCTTCCTCCCACAGTCCAAAAACGTGTCCGTCAGGTTAATTAGCTTCTCTCAATTCTCCTTAAGTGAATGGTTGTTTGTCTCTGTGCTGCCATGTGATGGACTGGTGACCTGTCCAGGGTGTACCCCACCTCTCCCCCATTGACGGCTGGAGATCAGATGAATGTGCCCCACTCACAAACCCAGCAGCAATGTGATGGAAATGAATATGTGACAGTAAACATCATGTGCTCTGTTCTTGCTTTAATGTGAAGTAACTTGTTGGTTGCAGCAGGAAGATCTACAATAGAAAATATCAACTTAATGTTTGAAATCAATCAAAATGGTAGTCATGATGCAATTAAACTATGTTTGCATGCTCTATATATTTGCACTTTGGCGCCCCCTTGTTGCGTCCTACAGTTTTTTTAACCCATGGTGTTAACAGCACATTTATGAGTCCTCATACTTTGAGTAGGAGCATTTTTAAAGTGTTTAAAATAAAGAAATAACCTTGATTTAAAGTAAAAAAACACCTGTTTGGCCACACTTTTTATTATCTGGTTACATTTTTATAATCCAGTTAAATGCACACTCTACAGGAGCATTTGAAATAACGAAAATCATTTATGTACAGCAATACAAAAAAATATGCAAGGATTCAATGCAAGAAATATTTTAGACCCTCTAAATCTAGATGTAAGAGCAGAAAGGAAACACACTGCAGTTACATATGAAAACTATTGAAATACTCTCAGGTGTTTGTAAAAGTCCGAGCACCCCAAAATGATCATGAAGCATCACCTTCTATAAAGTGGTAAAATATATAATAAGGTGGTGGGGAGTATACTTGGACTTTAAGGTGCCGCTAAAGTTAAGAATGATGAGCAGAATATTAGGTCATACTTAGCAGGTCCCATGGAATCTATGCAGTGCCTTGTAGATGTATTTATACTCCTTGAGCTTTAATACTTTTTATGTAGACAGAACCACACAAAGTGTTGCATAATTAAATAAATGCTCTGTTAAGTATAGTTAGAATTTAAATTTTGCCAACGTTACTATGATGCTCCTGACAAAATAAAGTAAAAGTAATTGAATCAAGAAATCACCTAGTTAGTAAATAGCATTCACCTGCCTGTAATATTAACTCAGTATAAAGGTCTCAGTGGTTTCATGAAAAACATTAGTGAACAAAAAGCATCATGAAGACTGAAAGACAGAACAGATGGGTCAGGATTGGTTATAAATGATACCAAAGGGTTTTAAATATCTACCAGAGCATGTGTCAGTCCACTATTTAGAACTATAAATAGTATGCAATGTCAGAAAACCTGGTAGGGTATGGGAGTTCACCTAAACCGACAGGGTAGAGATGGATGGAAATAATTAGAAAAGCAGTTAGTGCCATGGTAACTGTTAAAAAATTGTAGTGATCCCTAGCTAATGTGGGAGCTAGGAGTCTTTGTTCAAAAGTAGAAGTCTTAGAATACATAGATCAGGGCAGCAAAGTGGTGCAAAGAAACATGTGGAAGAGGGTGGTTGTGGCATACCAGACTGAAAATGAAGGCCAAAATTTGATCTTTTGCCTTCATTAAAAACAAACAAACAAACAAAAAACTGTGTTGAATATAATAGGAGTGGGCTGTACATTAATATGAAAACACCTTTCCCCTGCTGAAACACAGTGGTGGCAGGATCATGCTGCTGATATGCCTTTACAAGAAAAATAGGTGGAGCTAAATATAGGGGAAAAGAACCTTTTAGAGGAGAAGGATTGGTCTTTCTGTGATTTTCTTTTGTTAGAGATCTAGGTGTTTTCCTAAATATAGAAAGAAATAAAAAAGAAAAATATATTCAGCTGACAGAATAGTACAAAACGCTAAAATCCAATACAGAAGCGCTGGCAAGAAAGACGTGAAAACCAAAATCCAGAGATATTCTCCAACCAGTATAACTGCACTTTACTAATTTTGCAAAGACAATCCAACAAAGTTCTATAGAAACCTGCTACTACATACCTCACAGTGAAAAAGACTTAAAAAAAAATGTGTTGTTATATCCCATTAAATTTCCAAATAAAAAAATTCACACAGGATTCAATATGAAAAATTCAAAGAGCTATGAATACATTTGCAAGGCACTGTAAGACTACAAAGCTTATTTTTGTCCAGTTCAGTAAAAGGCCCCTTCAAACAGGGAAATGTTGGAAATTGCATAGAGCACTAAGGGAAATCTACCAGCTACTGCAGAGGAGCTCAAAGTTTAGACATTGAAAGGGGGAAAAGTACACCAATGTCATCAGATCTTCTGTGTATTTAGTCAGGAGTTTCTCCAACTGATCGGTCAAGCTTTATAAAAGATAAAAGGATGGAGGATGGCAGATAAAAGCGAAACAAAACAGAAATAAAAACAACACTGAAACCAGGCAGGAGTCTTACTGAAGAATTAATGTGTACTCAGTCATCGGGCTCGTACCTGGAACAGAAACCAGAAAGCATGTGACACAAATAGAAACACGGTCGCTGAATGTTGTCCCTGAAACATCACAGTAACTGGGAAATATGTTATTTGGAAAAAAAAAAAAAAAAAGCTATTGAGAAAACTCACTTCTGCAGTCGTTTCCTTATTTCTTTGATTTGTTCATTCTTCTTAGTTAGAATCTCCTTCATGTTGCGATATGCCGCAGTTTGCTGGAACTTCTTCTCCAACTCCTAAACAAATAAACAAATATCCAAACATTAGAGGGAAGGAACGATGAAAGGCAGCAACGACGTCACATGTTAGCCACTAGGAAGGAATTTAACTTAGACAGAGTTTTAGGTATGATTCACAGTTAAGAGAGGTGCAGTAAAGACTAACCAATTTATTTTAGCTTCTGATCAGCTTTTCAAAGAAAAACTCCTAAAGTAAAAGGGAAAAACAAAAAACGACAATATAACCTCCTGAGATGAAATCAGGTGTCTGATCTTATGATGTGAATGATCATGGAAAATTCATGCTTCCTCAATGTTACTGCATAAAAGAGGAAGTCCGATTCCTCGAGCTCTAGCAAAAAACAAAATAAAGAGCTTCACAATTCTATTTAAAACTCAATTTTGTTGTGTTAAAAACTTTTTAATTGGAGCTTTAAGTGATAGACCAACACGAATTACTGCATAATTATGAGCTGAAAAGTAAAACATGGCTTTAAATGTTGTGGGGTGTGTCTATTCAGCTACTCTAAATGAATACTTTGGAGAACCTCCACTGAATCAGTTTGAATGAAGCTTGTGCTCATTTTTATTTAATGTAGTACCAGACATCAGTTTTCTAGCAATGCCAAAAACATCTGGACTTTTCTTTTTTTAATGTAGTCTCATTCCTTCACAGTTTTCAGCACATTTTTCCAGATCTGTCCTGGATTCAGTGCTATCCATCCCACAGCATGATGCTACTACTACCATGCTGTGGTCAGAAAATTGACATTTCTCTTATATGCCCGTCTTGTCAAAAGATTTTCCAACTTGACCTATTGACTTATCTGCAGCTCCTCCACCGCTATCATCACCCTCCTGGATGCTTCTCTGACTTACCTCTACATGCATTACCTTTCTGAAGAACAGAACAAAGCAGCTGAGGTCACATTGGTAGAAAAACAAACTAATAGAAGTGTGACAGTTATGTGTTATTTTTGTTTTTACTACTTTTAATGTCTCCTCGTTATATAATCATGTTTGCTAAGGTTCTCATCTTCAATGATTGTGAAATGTACATATAATCCTTGATACCTGATCCTTTCTAAGACATTTGTTTTCTTATTAATTCCTGTATTAATTCACCAGACGGAGAGCGGTCTTAAAGAGGTACCTTCTCTGCCAAGGACAGCTGCTCCTGCACTCGCAGAAGTTCATGCTTGGCGGTGATTAAATTCTCCTGCAGATCCTTCTTGGTTGCAGCATTGGCACTAAGCGACCTTTCATAATCCTCCTTCAGAGCTGCTACTGTATTCTCTAGGCTGCTGATCTCCTTTGTTTGAGCAGAAAGCTGAAACATTGAAGAAAACCAATTATAGTCCATACAGCCTGACAGGCCTTAACAGAACATTTTTTTTTAAATGACAAAAAGAGTTTCTGCAGGTTCATACATACCATGCAGGCCAAAGTAAGCACAAAATAGCAATCGGTAAAAAGCATGCAGACGACAAAAAATCCCAAATAAATATTTGTGAAAATAAAAAAAAGAAAATGGAAAGATTTGCTGAATGGTGATTTTTTTACATGGAAGTCAAACAGTACCTGTTGATCTCCTTGTGTCCTCTGGAGATCTTTCAGAGCTCTCTCTGCTTTCGTTTTCTCATCTAGTACACTCATGGCCTGGGTGTATTGATCACAAAAATAAATGAGCAACAATAAGCCTGTGTGGGGAGGGGATAGGTTTATAGGGACCGTTTCATACCTGTGATTCTAAAGTCCGCAGCCTGGATTTCAGTTTGTCGTTCTCCTCTTGTAATCTTGCTATCTCCTGAAAAAACAAAAAAAAAAAGGATCAATAACAGATTTTATTACTCTAGGCATTTTATTTAACTTTTCAACCAGTGGGTGAAAGCAATAAGATAGCTCTTCAGAAACTAACAGTTGCTCATTAGGGGAAGAAATGTCAGAATTTTCATGTCAGATTTAAAGACTGAAGCACTCTTCTTATCAGAATCAATAGTTGCTTCAAACTGGTTGGTTTCCTGGAACAGAACGTCCCTTAAACTGAGACTATTTTACTAATTGTAAAGCACATATTGTTGAGGAGCCCATGGTAGTGATGTATCAGCTGAGATGAACGTCTACGTCCAAATTCATCACATTGACTCTAAACCTGGAGCAACCAAAACTTTAAACTTAAAAAAAATTCTCATAAATCTTCCTTAAGCCAGACAGTGCTTTTTATTGTTAAACCTTTTTTTTAAACAAAGAAAGTCACTAATGAGATTAACAATCACTTTTCAAGTCCTGGCAAAAAATAAATGGATAAAAAACGTTACATGTAAAACATTATTTATAAATAGCATCCAAAAAGACCCCTTAAAATTTTTTTAAATATTATAAAATTGGATTAGTGGAACCTAAAATAACTATTCTGAAAAACCCAATCATGCTTTGTTGTGGGGCTCAGTAGGTAAAAGTCGCCAGGAATCCACATGATCAGCACTTTGCATGCCACCCAAATTGAAATGCAACTGTTTTGACATTTCTTCATGCAAATGGTGGACTTCTAGATTTCCTTTTGGTCCGAGTCAAGCTCTGGGATCCAAGGCTCGGCAATCCTGGTTATGTTTACTCATTAATGTGCTTCTAATGCTTCTTCTTCCTTGAATTTAGAAAAAGGATCCAATTGAACTAATTCAGGACATTGATCAGGAGGTCTTCTTGAAACCTTCCCTCTTGGCAGGAGATCACAGACAGAACCAGTGGGGATTTCTGGACCTGTTACCCCCTCCAACCAGAGACGACAGATAGATGGTCGTCACTTCTGGTTTGTTGAACAGACAAGACCGGCTAACTTTAGCCCAGGAAATGGCCTTGGCACTCAAACTTTTTAGAAGTTGATGAATACTTAAAAGCCAGCCATATTGCAGATTTTCAATAGGGGACGATTATCCAAGTATTAATGGGATGCGAGTACATTTAAGACTCTATGTTCAAGGGTGAGAGAAAATCACATTATTGAAATCATTGAAATCATGGAAGTTTGAAACAGTTTAAAAATTCCTCATCACATCTTTGTAAATTCACAGCCGATGGGGAATCGTTTTACCTTGTTGAGGAGCTCAGACACCCCACCTTCGTTCAGCGGTGCCAGCTTGGGTTTATGCGTTTCCTGGTTTGTCTAGAAGTGAATTTCAGATTTCACAGTCATGCAAAGAGCACACAGTTGCACTGCAGAGCTTATTTAATCTCTTTTAGACGTACTAACATAAAACCACAGGTGAACCTCGGTGACATGTGTCTTCTGAACCACACTTTTACAAATATAGGCCACAGTCTGACATTAAAAAGATCTTAAAGTGTGGGGGCAGGTACTCTATGTTTACTTTAATTTAGCCTCTGCCATGAATGGTGATGTCTGAAGAGGAAAAAAGCATCTTTCAAACCTTATTGGTAGTTTTAAAGTCAGTCTTCTCAAATTCAGCCACCTGCTCTAACAGCTCCCTAAAAGGGCGAGAGGTGAAAAAGACAATAGATGACTGATTAGTGAAAAAAAAAAAAAAAGGAGATTTAGTGGAAACACAAAATGTGAGATGCTTAAAGATGTAAACAGATTCTAGGTGCCTCCATAACTTTCTGAGCAGCCCTGACAGGACACTCAGTTCACAGCAGTTGTGTAACCTCCGTGTTGACATTCATCTGTGCGAAACTCTTACCATCTACTATTTGGGCGGTCGTGAATGGCAAAGGAAAAGTGAACTCCCTCACTCCCGATGGCAGTTTAGCACTTATGTTATAAGATACATGCTTGTGGTGAGCAGCACTACACTCAGAAGAGCTTATATGTGGTTTTTAAAAGCAGCTGAAGACACGTAGTATGTGACAAGGGGCGTTTTCCTTGCTTTAGACACCTATTCAGTCACGTACAAAGGTGCAGAACAAAAAAGGGTTTATGGGTTATTCTTCCACCCACCATGTGACTGTTACACTATAAACAAAGTACCTTCTTCAAAACATTGTGTTTTATAAGGTGATGGGTCATAAGGGCATAAGTTAAATAAAGTTCAGTCAATTTTTAAATGGCTTATATTCAGATCAAAATGGGTAGATGGATGAACAGCTTTGTCATGTGCAGGATTTAGGAAAGCATCTCTAAAAATGGTGGTTTATTAAAATATATGATCCACTGTCCTTCAAAGGGTTATAGATGGTGAAACTGTGAGCAGGCAGCATCAGCTGCAAGGGTCTGTTGAAGAATGGAAACTGTTTGACTTCAATATTATTTTTTCTTTATTATCACATACATGTGCCTCTAAATGAATCATCAAAATTTATTTATCCAATTCCATTTAGTAAAATATTAAAAATTACATTTTATTCATTGAAATAGAAGTCTCAGTCTGCTCTAAAAGTAAAAATTTAATAAAATTTGGATTCATAGTGGTCTTTGTTCTTTTTCTTAATTTTTAAGGGAACAAATGTTTTTCTTTTGAAATTAGACGAGAATTTGTTTAATTAGACCATTAACTATTTACTTTACTTGTATAACATACAATTCTTTCCTTAACCCCCAAAACATAACCTTTTATTTTTGTAAAATCGCCCAGAAGAAAAAGAAAAACAAAAAAAAAATACATTGCCTAAATTCCAGAGAAATGCTTCAGGTTGCACTAAGCAGGTGACAGTTTGTGGTTTTTAGCCCAACTAAATGGAAATCTAAATGGAAACTGAAGTAGTATAGTGGAAACCTGGGTTTCACGCAACTAGATCAGCAGAAGACAGCTGACCTTTTTACCCCAGTGAATGACATGTTGGAGATGTAAATCTGAAAAAGTCTAAAGAGGAAGTGCAAAGGTGGCACAGAACAAAGCAGCTGTTAAAATTTAAAGGACCTTTGCTTCAGGCAGTATTGTTACCATTTTGTCTATATGAGTGTATTCACGATACATCCACTAACGTTTTGGATTTAAAGAGCTTCAGTCTATATAACTGTCTGATTAATTAAAGATCCTAACAGCTCACCTGTTTTCGAGCTCTGAGATATCGCTCTGGAGTCGAAGGTAAAATTTCTCAGCCTGAGAGAAAAGCTGTCTGAGCAGCACCACATTAGTGTGGGCTGTGTTGATCAGCTCCATCTCTACTTCCCCACGGACCACCGCGTGCAAGCCGTCCAGCATCTCCTTCACCTCGTCCACGGTGAAGGTCTCCTCCACCAGCCTTCAGAGGGAAAATCAAATAACACTTTAGCCCCAACAGTTACTTAATACTACGAATGATAAAGATGTGTCAAAACCCTTGATATACTTATTTTTGCTCAAGTACAATTCCACCATTTTTCTTTCAAATACTATTGTACGTTTTAAAACTTTATGATGTCATCCTGGGATGAGAAACAGACCCACAACATCTCAAATCCTCCACTTCAATTAACAATAGGCAGGTGGTAATTTTCCACATATCCATTGTTAGTTTCATGCCACACCTATATGGGACGTTTTTTGCATATCAGGGTCAAAATCAGTCTCCTCAGACAGAGCAGATATGGAAGGACAAAAGCTGTTTTGTTTTGTTTTTTTCCTCCAGACATGCATTTCAAACTACTGGTTTAACTAGTTTGTTTTGGTTTTTCAGAACTTTTTTTTTATTTTTTACTTGTGTTATTGACATACAAAGATCGACATTCATCCATCATCTATAACTGTATATGCTTGCGGGGGGGCTGTTGCATATATCCAACAGTCATCAAACTATAGGATGGGTTCTCCTTGCACAGGTCCCCAGTCCATCAGAGATCAGTGCAGAGAGCCCCAGGACAGACAATCATACTCTCTCACACACAAACACACTCTAAACTCATGCTAAAGGGCAATCTAAAGTAAGCAAGTAACCTAAGAGGCATGTTTGGACTATAGGAGGACTGCACAGAGAAAAGCTTTCAAATTCCATTAGTTATGGGACCAACAACGTCGTTTCAAGAAAGTCATGTGACCAATACAGGAATTGTTTCTAACTGACTGAAACACTAAACTGTGTTTAAAAAATATCTGTCAACATTATGCATCTGCTAAAAAATGTCTCCTCTTTTGCAGTTTATCATTAAAATTATCAAGTTCTTTGGAGCAGCCTAAAAGGAATAGAAACGTTTCCGCCGTTGCATTTTTTTTTCTCAATTTGTCATACTTTTCCTCTCAGTTATCACTCAACTTATCTGATTTATAGTTAATTTCAAATTGACTCTTAATTTATTTACTATTTTTACTGTAGTTATTGTTTTAAAAATAGGATTTAAAGGATGTGGAGCAGGCACAGCGGTCAGTGCGCCCTGTCACGTACGGAGGCCTTAGTCCTTGACGTTACCGACCCGGGTTCGAATCCAACCTGTGGTCCTTTGCCGCATGTCTCTCCCCCTCTCTCATACCCCCTTTCCTGTCAACCTACTGTTGAAAAAATGAGCCACTAGTGCCGCAAAAACTCCAAAAAAAAAAAAAAAAGATTTAAAATCCTACTCAACAAGCATCCTCATTCACATTTCCCCCTAAATTTTGACGTTATGATGTATGGTTACATTATTTATTCGCTGCATCTAAAAAAAATAGCGAAGATATTTTCAATTTAAACATAGACATGAAATAATACAATATAACCTACTATAACTTAAATTATATCATTGCACTAGGTCATCTATAGTAATCAATTCAGTTTAGTCTGTCAAATAAGCTGCCTGTAGTGCCTTTAAAGGTCCAGCAGGTGTCAGTATTCTGTGAGACAGTATCAAAGCATTATCAATATAGTTTGGCAATGTGTCAAAACCTTTCAAGATGCCTCAAGCTATGAGCAAAATCTTCTTCTCTCTGCAAAACAGGAGCTAAAACTGTACAGTACATGCTTACATGTAGGTTGTGTTATTATCATTAGAAAGGCTAAAAGAAAGAATCCTGGATTAAACAAGTAAATAAATCTTAAAACGTAAAGCTCTCACTGGACCTATTTTATTCAAATTGTTAAGGGTTGTGATATTTGTGGCACCTTACTCACCTGACACATATCATATCATTTTTATGCAGCACTCCCTTTGAACTTTGTCACATTCTGTCACATTATAACCACAAACTGTAATGTGTTTTAATTAAATTGCATGTGAAAGGCCAACCAAAAGTGGCACATGATTGTGCAGAGGATGGAAAGTTTAAAAAAAAGGCCTGCAGCTTACCTTTGAGAAAACCTTATCACTGTGGTTACAACTGCAAATCCTTTGTAAAAATGTTTCTTCTAGCTTTGCTCTTCTCAATATTTTGATGTCTGCCAAATATTACCATAAGCATCCCGGCTTCCTGACATTTAAACAAAGGTGGATGGTGTGCTACATTTATATTTGGGTTATATTTGGGTATTATTTTTCAATTTTTATGTATTGTACTGAAAGGTTGTCAGTTCATCATCCCCAGCTGGTGTTCTTTGTTTCTAGGGTCTCAAAAGATGCTGATTGCTCACTAATTTTGGATAATACTCAAACTAGTCATTAAGTGAGATTAAAACTGTTATCTACATATGGATCTCATAATAGGGTGTGGCTTAAGATAAATTCAAGAGCGAGTCAAGTTTATGGAGAGATTTCTTGCGTTTTTAAAGCAGATCATATCACTACCACTTAAATACAGATACATACTTTTGGGTTATCAACAAATATGGATGAACTTAAAAGCTCCCGTTCATTAAATGAAGATGTAATTACTCATTCCTCCTTACGTTTCAATATATTGGAGAAAAACAAAGAACTCTGCGTGTACGCCAACACTGGCTAATTGCTTTCCACCACATGTATTCCCTTGATAGGGCTCGGGACCTCACACAAGGTCATGAGACACCAATTAGGAGGTTGTGCGGCTCTTCCGCTGTCATTGTGATGTGATCCCTTAAGGATACAGAGGGCCAAAATAGATGATTAAATAAATAAATTTATTATAAGATAATTCAAATATGTAATTTTTATATTATTTTGTTAATAGTTATACCATTAAATTAACAATTAAGTTATTAGATGTGACAATTAATATTCGAAAATAAATTTAAATATATCTAAATAATAGTTAAACATTATCAGATGAACGTATTCATTTGTTTTGTATGTATTAATTTATATATATAAATAAATATAAAGAGGGGCAATTATATGAATTTTAGGGGTGTTAGGATAATTATCTTTGAAGATTTGTGAGTTTATCACACCCTGGTATGGGCTGCCTGTTGCGCGTCAGAACTGATGTTTTAATCTAATTAGGGCAGTTCCTCTGTCTGCATATATAGTTATACTCTTCATTTTGTACGTGGCAAAGATTTGGAAATGGCATGAGAGCGGTTTCCTATTTTTATAAGGTGTCTAACCATCTGCTAATGTGTATGATGTAAAATATCATGATGTGGCCGACTGGGGATGTATAAAATTCCTTTTAAACCATTAATCGGGGCCACTTCCTGAGACATGAGCAGCTGCTATTCTGTAACCCTGAGCAATTTCTCTGATCTGAATAAGATTACAATTTCTATCAAAATCTCTTTTCATGACTCCTGGTTAAGTTTTCGAAGTGTTATTTAAAGAGTTTGTCCCGAGTGATCTCTTTTCAGGGAAAAGAACCAGAGAGATAGGGCATCAGGGTGCATACACAGAGCCTATCCTTAACAGGGGGTTTCAAGTCTGTTGCATTGTTATGCCCAGGCTGAGTGATTAGATGAGCTTTATTGATCTCACAGCGGAGAAGTGTTTGGGACCCAATGCTCTATCAAACCTCAGATATTTGGTCTGCCTCACAAAAGTTCAAAATAAAGTGTTTAATTGTAATATAGCAGGAATTGGCAAGTTTTAAGGCAGAAAATACTTTTGTATGTCGTAATTTGGTTTAGGTGTATGACTATAATTATGTAACTTCTCTGTGGTTGTGGATAAAAAAAAAACATTAAATGCAAAATCCACAATGACAGAGAAGTTCATGACCTTTTACCTGCTGTCTTTGAGTTCCTCAAAACATGAGTCAATAATCTTGAGCCTTAAGAGCCTCTGTGAGCGAGCAAACCGCATGTAGTTGATGATTTCATTCTGATGGTGTTCATTAAACCCAAAGTCAGCCTTTGTGGAGACAAGAAAACAGGGCGTTAGAAAAACAAAACATTGCATCAGAAAAAAAAAATGTGCATATGAATTAGACAGAGGTTGATGTAATGGTGACCCCAATTAGCTTATCAGCTAACTTGAAGAGGATTTTCTCCTGTCAATATGTCACAGGGCCTTTCCACATGAGCTGCATGCTAGCTATAGCTTTACAACTTGAGGAGCGTTTTGAAGGAAAACGACAATCATTCGGCATTTTTACGAGCAAACAGGTGGCTGGCAGCGCGGTTTAAATCTTATACTTACCATTATGGCTGTGTGGCAACGTTAACGTAACTAAGTTAGCTTGAGCTGATCCCAGAGGAAACGGAGCAAATTTCTTTGGTTTAGACAACACCCTCGAAAAGCATAAAAGCCGCTGTTGATATAAAGGGTTCAAAATGCAGTTAACTTCACTGTAAGTTTGTTTAACAGAACAAAATGAGCAAACGTCCCGCTTTCCCACAGATGCAAGATTATCCTGCAGATCGGCTAGCCTAGCTAACCAGCTAGTGTTTGCCTTGAGAATGCCTTGGTAACGGAATATAGCGTCATCACCTTGGTTACCAAAGGTGCGTTCGCGGACATCATGGGCAGGTGGTTTTCAAAATTGAAGAATCTTCATATTTCATGTTCAAACTTGATTTTGTTGGCGAAAAATTTGTCTTATTTAACAAGGAATTGAGATCAGTCGTTTCTAATTTCATTATATACCCTGCAAGAAAGAAACATGTACAGTAACCGTGTTGCCAATTTTCCTGCCTGTTCTGAAACCAGAGGTTTTCCCGAACTACTTATGGAGCACACACGGACAAAATAGTTTGGCACATTTATTTCTTACAAACTGAAGCATTTTTTGAAAAAAAACAAAAAACAAAAAAAAAAACCTTGAGTCTTAGGGAGTCTTCTAAAACTGGAAAATAGCTTCCGATACGTCAGTAAGATATGACCCGCATCAGCCTTGTCCAGCAGGCACTCTGCTTGAACGAATAGTTGCTTTAAAACTAGGTACATAAAGTCCAGCACACGCAATTAACAGGAAAAGGGATGGCATAGTAATTCGATTTTTCCGCCCACAGCTGTCATGTCAAATGTGAGTGATCCCTGAAGAATATGGAGGGCCAAATACATAATTAAATAAATAAATTTATCATAAAATAACAAGATTAACACTTTATATAATTTTCTAATTAATAAATAAATATAAATGGAGGCAATTATATGCATTTTTTAGGGGGTTTCAAGTCTGTCACATATATGAAGCGAAGACGCCTTATTTTCTATACATAATGTCTCCTCACATGTTGCCTGAATAGTTTTCTTTTTTAATATATATATATATATATATATATATATTTATTTATTTATTTGTTCGATATTCAGTTTACAACTATTACGTATTATTAAGTAAAGTTTTGCGTTCCCAATAATAGTACAAAACACAAACCCTTTGTGGCTCACATTTCTTATCCATAGGTAAAATGACACCCTCGTGCATTACATGTTTTAAAAGCTTAATGTATTCTATGTTTTCCTTATTTATCCATTTATATTGATTATGTTTATCCTGTTAAAGCATTTTTGATTAAAAAAGATATAAATGCGATTTGGACCCAATGTGTACTTTTTGTAAAAAAAAAAAATAAATAATGAAGAAAAGCTTATTCATCTTTTTTGGGATTGTAATTATGTATACCAAAATATTCTGGAGAGATATGTCAATTTTTTTTCATCAAAAAAATCTTAACATTACTTTAACAGATAAGGATGTGTTGTTTGAAATGGAGAAATGTGAACTTGTCAAAACAGAATTTTTATGTTAGAAAATGTTGTATCATTTTTTTTATTATTTATGGTAAATATTACATTCACACCTCCAAATATTTACAAAAAAAAACTAATTTCCAGATTTTATTATCTTCTATTAATATCTATATAGAATCCTTAACATTTAGTTCAAATGCGAAAGCCATGCAAATTATAACTGCCCTTAAAGAATTATAACCCTCGAGCATAGATTAGATTTGATTTTGACATTTTAAAATAATAGTTCTGTTCGGTAAAGCCTTTTGTTGTTGTATATGTTTGTAATTATTAATGTTCTACATTTTTCATGTATGTTTTTTTTTTTTTTTGCAATTAAAAAAAAGTTCCTTATTTATGCACTTTTATTTTAGCTCAATGTAACAAAAAACTGTGCATTTGAGATAGGAACAGCAGATGGCAGCAGTGGTGGTAGAAATAAAAAGGCAGTAGCAAAGTGTGTCCTGAAAATGTTAAATCCTATTACATTGGAGTAATAGTCCCATGACACTAATTGATTCTGTTCAGTTTGAGGCTCTGGTTATTTATGTTACAGGGCATTTATGATGTACAGTGACAAACAATGTAGCATATCAGTAACATAGCTAATCTGGGGATGGGAAATGTAATTATTTTATTGCTCAATTAAAATTAGAATAGTTGTTTCTTTGCTGCAGAAAGACAGTCGACTTTATGTGAATCAGAACTAGTTTTCACAGTGATTTTGTGGTAAAGTCTTCTCATCCTACTAGAGCCTCCAGAGGTTTGCTCTCCAGCATGTTAAGGAGAGATTCAAATGGGAAATGAAGAACGAAACTTTTCTTTTCCTCATGTCTCTCTTGCTGTAATTGAATTAGGCTAACAGGCAACGCATGGTTTGTCGCCCTAGCAGCCTTATAACATGACCACTCTGAGCTGTTCTACTCAAGTTTTAGTGCAACACATCAGTCATTACGAACGGCTAAGATGTTTCCCCTTTACCTTCAGTCACGGTGAGTTGCATATTTTTTAAAGAAAAGATTAAAACCGTTATTTTTTCTATACTCTTATAATCTTTTTTGTTGTTACATTTCAGTGCTTCTGTAGGCCTACTTCTCAGATTATTGTATGGTGATTGTCTCTCCTAGTAATGATATCATGACACCAGTAAGACAAAGATATCCATACGAAAACTGTAAGATAGTAATTTTATAATACAATACAAAAGTCAGACAAGTTATATATTAACAGGTATGGTAAGTTAAAAATGTAATGTGAGTGGTGCAGCTTTTAAAGAATAAGGAACTATTATAAATGCTAGAAAGCTTAAGAACTAAGTCACAAAAAAATTAAATATTTTAATTATAACTTCTTTTATATGAAGTTTTTTAATATATAAACTCAATAAAACACACTTGACAATGAGTTTCACTCTACATTTGGATGAATATATGTTATGGTAATGTTGATGTTATAACAGATTGTATTTTAAAGCTTAAAGTTGTTTTTATCTATGCAAAGGCAGCATCTAATGCGTTAATGTCTTTCTATCACTAGATGGCAGAATATTTTACTTAATTTGAAATATAATCCTCACAAAAGTGGCTAATTTTTTTTTAAACTCTTTACTGAAGTTCATTTGTTCATTCTTTTAACTATATAAGTATTTTTAATGAGGTTGCTCCAACCAAAACAAAGTAATTGCTGTTAAAAAGACTAGTTTTTAATTGTTGGTTTTCACCAAAAACTGATCTTTAATAAATCCTGCTACTAATACTAATACTGCTACTCAGCAGCTTTCCTTAGTGTCCTTATGGATTAACAATACGGACTGAGACTTTCTGATACAGCAAATAAGTGATTGTAAAAATCAAAATTATTTTGGTGCCTCAAGCAAACATGACTTAATCAGGGAGTTGCTGCTTTGCAGCAAGGAAGTCTTGGATTAAAATTACAACCTGGACTCTTTCTGCATGGCTGGATTCTGCCCTGCTTCTCATGCAATTCAAACATGATGACATGTGAGGTTTCTCTCTCTGAAGAGTCCTTTGATGAGAGTGAGTGCATCCGGCATGCATGGTTTTCCGTCTGTGATGTACAGTGGGAACAGAAAGTATTCAGACCCTTTTAAATTTTTACTCTTTCTTTCATTGCAGCCATTTGCTAAAATAAAAGAATATAATTTTATTTCTCATTAATGTACACTCAGCACCCCATCTTGACAGAAAAAAAACAGAAAAGTAGAAATTTCTGCAAATTTCTCAAAAAAGAAAACCTAAAAATAAAGATCTTTGCTGGGGGTACGAAGTCTCTTTTCACAAAGATATCTTGACATTGAAAAAAGGAAGCAAACAATATATATTTTTTTACCCTGCCTTTGCTTTTGATCAGACAGTCAATCTGACCGGATATGCCTAAAAGCCTCTAAGTCATAGTAAACGGTTCACATGGAAGGTCATTAGCAGCAACTTGCCTCTTGGCTTGGTCCCCAGAGTGTCCATAGGCTTTTAAGTAATTATCACACTAATGCAAATGTAAGGGTATTCACCTCCTCATGAAATGTCTTCTGCTTAAACCACCATGACATTTTTACCAGAGTTTATTAAAATGGTCACAATTCACTGTCGTCTTGGCTTTAGACTAGCTGTAAGCTAGATTTTAACCTTAGCCATGAAGAGAAGCGAATCTGCTTTTTTTTTTTTAAAGAGAGATTTATTTATTGGAATTTAATCACTATTCCTAACCGGAAAACCCCACTGAAAAATATTAGTAACTTTCTCATTAACAGCTGCACCTCAATGTTTCAGTGGTGATTATGTTTCATTTTCTACCAAAAGGGAAAACAAACTTAAGAAACTGACAACACCATGTTGCTCTGTGTAATTACTGTTACTTAAAGGGGTTTTATTATGTATAACTAAAAGGATTTATCAAGTTTCTTTAAAAAAAATTAATAAATTTTACTGTTTTGTTGATACATGGGTTTGCAACCTAAAGCTGCCTGGCATCAGCAGGAAGCACAAACCACTGGAAGAGTGACACCTGTGTTCACTGCTATTTATATTAATGGTGATGATTCTGTTTGCAAAGGAAATAAAAAAAAACAAAGATATCTTTCTAATAGACATTTGACCTCTTTCATAAAATGAAACATTTTACTGTAGGAGTTTTCACTTTCAAAATTAGCAGAAATCACCATTTCCTTTGTTACGTAAAATGAAGGAAGTCTCTGCCACATTGTTCACACTAAGGTTTGATTGGTGCAGTACTGTAAGTAGATTTTGTCATTGAAAGAAGTAGAACTGAAACATACCTCCTATAAGATGTCTGATTTCTGGAAAAGACTTTGTGTTTGATGACATAAAGACATGAGAATATTAAGGGATTAAGTTGGGACAAAAAAATGGAGAAGGAATGTGTCTTAAATCCTAAGATCCCCGAGCAGTGTATTCATTCATATTATTTTTTATTTTTATTTTTTTTATAGAACTGAAACACCCCAATAATACAGTAATCAGTTTTTTTTTTTATTGAGAATCATAGCACACAATTTGGTTACTTCCGTTTTTTTTTTTTTTTTTTTTTTTTTTTTTTTTTTTTTTTTTTTTTTTTTTTACCATACATGTATACTTTTCTGGAGCCCAAAACCTCAGGTTTAGGACTCTCTTAGTGAAGAACATTGTTGTTTACATTTCAAAAATAAGGGACCTAGCACATAATAAGGTACTGCAAACGAAACAATAG